TTGGACTTTTTGAATGTAAAGTGTTTAGTCTGGATACTTTGGTGCATAACAGTGATAATGAACATAGTTATAGCGGGCTCACAGTTTCATTTTTTTTAGGTGTCTAAACTAAACAGAAGAGATGTTTTTCATTTTGATTTCATTTCATTGTTGTATTTCTGCACATTTTGATAAACTTTTGAAGAAAAAAAAAGTTCACCTCCATTAACCGTTAATTTCATTAATGTTATTATTACCATCGGGATCAGGAAACGCTGATATTTCATAAAAACAGACTTTGTGCTGAACCAACTAACGTATCTGCAGTAACCTGCAGACTGAGGATCTGAGGAGAGTGAAGTTTATTCTTCATGTCTCGATATTAGTGCATTTAAGTTACAAAACTGAAAACATTCAGTAATAATTCCACATTGCTGATTCTCTTGAGATGATATTTTTGGACTAAAAAAAAACTGTGGCTGTGACAGCGCTGAAGATGCTGGATTCCTCCTTTGTTCTAGAAGTTTTCACTGAAGGAACCGTGAGTCTGCAGCAGCTCCGTTGGCTGTGCAGGAAAGCATTTAGGTCAATAAAGCCACGTATGATCCCAAGGACAAGTCGGTTAATTTATGTAACTGATGAAGGTACAGCTGCTGTGCCACCTCCATAAACTGTGCACAGCCCTTCTGTCCAGTTGTGACCAGGATCCTGCTGATGTGTGATGCTCTTTAAAACAGTCCAAGAAACAGAAAAAGAGACATTTGACTGTAGATGTGTTTGTAGAATTTGGATATCAGGAGCTGAAGCTGTGGTCCAAAATTAACTCTGATTTTAAGTAAATATTATAAGAAGAATCTGCCTTTAAAACCAGACATAGTACCCGTCCAGAGGGTCGGTTCAGCAAACACAACAGAACAAAGACCGACTAAACTGGCTTCACTCACTGGAGTCGGGCATAATACGGAGGTCTCCTTCTTTGTAGTCGTCCAGCAGCTGGTACATGTAGAGAACCGGGTCTTTCTCGTAGGTGATGTAGAACCAGGTGGTCATGATGGGAGCTCTGGCCAGAACCATCCCCCTCCACTCCTCCTTCGGACCCTCCTCCGTCTCAAACATGTGCTCCACTGCCTTACCGATCATGGCGTCCGCCAGGTTGACGTCTGTCAGACGGGATTTAGCTACAGAGACAAAAATTCAATTCAAGACAGACGTCACTTTCACTTTCCAGTCTTAGGTAATTATCCACTAATCGGCAAAAAGCTTAATAAATAGAAAAAAGAGAATTTCTCCTTAGAGTGTCAGACTTTACACAACTCTTCAGTCTAAGCTGCTAATCTGCTAAGGCTAATCTTAGCATGCTAACATTTGATGTTACTGTGAGAGCATGAAAAGGTTTTGATATTTTGCATGTCATACTATGTGCATAATGTTAGCATGTTGTGTTTAGCCAACATGACCATGCTAACAGACTAAATATTAGCATGTCATCATTCATGTTAGCATGTTACTCACACACCAACATATAGCATGTTACACTATGTGCATAATGTTAGCATGTTATGTTTAGTCTACATTAACATGCTAATAGAAAAAATGCTAGCATGTTACTAATAGTCTATATATTAGCATGTCATTGTGGTAGTAAACATTTACACAATCATTTTTCAAAGTTTAGTTTATCATACTAAAATGGCAGCATGTTATGTGCAGTCAACGTGATCAAACTAACAGACTAAATATCATCATGTTACTAACATGCTATACGTTAGCATGTTAGTAACATGTTACCAACATATAGAATGTTCTATCATGTGCTTAACGGTAGCATGTTATGTTTAGCCAGTAGACTCAACATTAGCATGTTATACCATGTGCACAATGTTAGCATGTTAAGTTAAGCCGACATTAACAGATTGATAGACTAAATATTAGCATGTTACAATGAGGCATGTCAGATAATATTAATGTTGTCTAACACAATATATTGAGAAAAAAGCCTGTAGTATAACATCCTATACATTAGTATGGTATGTGTAGTCAAGATTACCTAACTAATGGACTAAATATTAGCATGTTATTAACATACTAGCATATAGCATATGTTACAATACTTGCTAAGTGTTAGCATGTTGTGTTTAGCTGACATCAACATACTAATAGACCTAATTTAATCATGAAAGTAAAATGGTGAACATTAGCATGTTATTAAAATGGTAAATATTAGCATGTTTACTAATGTTAATGTTGGCTAAAAATAACTTTAAGCATGTAGTCCAATGATATATTTTGGTCGTATAGTCTACTTTAACATATAGTCGAAATATTAGCATGTTGTATTATGTACTCAACCTTAGCATGTTATGTTTAGCCGACATTAACATACTAATACACTTAATTTAATCATGTTAGTAAAATAGCTAATATTAGCATGTTCAATAATGTTAATGCTGGCTATACGGAACATGCTAACATTAAGCATGCAGCGTAGCATGATATATTATTTACGTATAGTCTACATTAACATATTAATAGACTAAATATTAGCGTGTTAGTGAAATGCTATATGCTATCATGGTTGACCAATAATACCAAGCTGATTGATTAACATTTACCACGTTATACTATGTGCTTAATGTTAGCATGTTGCGTCTTGTTCAGTCGTACCCAGTCTGTCAGGGAGAACTTCCAGTCCCTGGACCCTCTCGTCTTTATGAAGCTCCAGACCATAAACGCAGTCGAACCCATCGTACTTTATCAGATAGAGAGACGGGTTCACCGGCACCTGGTGGACACAAACACATCAGGAAACAGTCATGTCTACACATCCCTCACCTATTGACCCATCTACTACACCAACAACACACACTTTAGCTTAATGCAGAGCTCAGTGCAGCTGTGGTTGGACGGTGTGTTGAACAGGTGTGTACCTGGTCCAGCACTGTTCCCTTCCAGATCACGTGTCCTCCTCCTTCCTTCCAGACGTGTTGAATCCTGCAGCCGACGATGTTGCGTCTGGGCTGCGACAGGACTTTGGTGGTCGGGCCCAGGCTGCTCTTATGCTTTCTTTATGGACACAGGAAACAACAGAGACCCAGTGTTGGACCAGTTACCTGTAATCTGGCAATAATACAAAGTAGACGAGTCGCAAAGCATCCTGACTTACTTGTGCGGATTCTTTTTCTTCATCATATTTGCAGAAACACCTGCATGCCCTGAGGAGAAACACAAGCACATTTACCAACTACTGCAGGGTTTTCATCAGTTCACAGCAGATCCTGGATACTTCACATCACTGCTGAGCATTTTAGAAGCATTAAGGTGTTGAAATAAAGAGAGAAACTCTGGATGTTGATCATCAGACAGCCACAGCAGCTACCAGTCCTGCAGCATTCATCATAATCGCTCCCTCTGTGAACAACATCGATGTTTCTGCTGCTTCCACACACATCGTTCTTTTCTTTCTGGATGTTTTCCTAAACTACAGCCTTCTCTAGTTCCTCCACCTTGTGAAGGAAACTTGATTTCCTCCTGGACTTCTTCCACCACCTTTCTTTGACAAGTCAATCTTGTGCAGATCTACTTTTCTTCTTCTTTTTTTTTTGGACGAGCCCAAAAGTTGATTTTCATAGAACTAACTACATTTGAGATCTCATTACCTTCTTTTTTTTAATTTAAACTCTCAACTTTTAATCAATGCCGAGCCTCGCGGGAGCTTTTTTTTTTGTGCAACACTGAAATGACACACAGCTGCCAAAACACATTCAGCAGCAATTATTTTAACACCTTGACAATTTGGCTCCATTTGCTAAAAGAATGGACTTTCTATATTGAGGTAAACCTTGGCGCTTAAACCTTGTATCCATCATTTTACATCAGATTGCCAAAGTGCTGAGTCCGCAGAGCAAAAACTGCACTCGAGAAGTTCTCGGCATATATTTGTTAGACTGTATTTAGTAGGCGTCACACTTGGAGCAGTATGAGCTGTTTAAAGAACCACTGCGTTACCAGACCGGACCACTGTTGGTTTATTTTACAACACCGTCAAACCTTGCAAACGTTGCCTCGATCACCTCCAGTCCTACAAACCTCTGCTTGGTTTTTCGTTGGTGGAGACCAAAGATCAGGACTGACTGCACCACAACAACAAGTTGGCAACGTTGGGATACTGGTTCACAGTAAGTTCCCAGGTGGATTTCTGATTGGTTTCATTGGTTTTCTGATTGGTTTCATTGGTTTTCTGATTGGTTTTCTCACGCAGCAGCTCCACAGTGTTTGCGTTGACCACCCATCGTGGCGTCTGACCTGTATCAGCTGTGTCTCTGTGTCCCGGAGTGCTCTTCATTCATCTGGAGGCAGGCGGGCAGCCAGGCCGCCCGGCCACACCGCTACAGCAGCAACCGGTCCGGCGCTGAAACCAGACAAGATCTTCTGTGAGGTATAAAAACACGAACCGCTACCACACAAACCACAAACAGGAGCTCAGGTCTGTCCAGCAGGAGCCGTCTTTAAACCTCACTGACATCTAGTGGCGCCTCACAGTGTCTACATCGTCGCTCGGACATGATGTCAGCGTTGCTTTGTTTTTGGAATTCTTCATTTTCTATAAGATGCAGTTTTGCACCAAAACAGGAAAATGCAACTTCTAACTCTGCAGCTGTCTGATCGACAACGGTTTACTGAAACAGGAGGTGCACTCTTTGATCAGACTTTCCTTAATTGAAATAACATTATTGCTGATTTTAACCCCAAACAGTTTCTGGACTCTGGTCTCATTTTTCTTCGCTGTGGTTCATTTTTCACCACAAGTCCTGCAGCTCAGTGGAAACAGAACAACCATGAAGAACATCATCACAACAACTGAAAAAACCTGAACTCAACATGTCCAGCAGGTCTTCAAAGCGCCCGTACGCGTCACCAGAACTGGAAAACGTCGCTTGTATTTTACTGTTTACATGTTTGATTAGTTTCCTCATTACACTTCAACACGGTTTCTATCACGTGATTGTTGGTGACAACTTAAGTCACTCGTGGTTTCCCAGCTGTGGTGGAGACTAAAGTTTTGTATTTTTTAACAGAATCTTGTGCAAACAGTTTATTTTGTGCACTTTTTTTTAATGGGATATTTAGAACAGAGGGATTTAGACAAAACAAAGATGTAGTTCGATGCCTAAAAGTTGAAAACCTGCAAAATGATAAACGGCCTTATTTTGGTGATTTAGTTGTAATTTGTCGAGAGAGTTAAACTGCTGGTCAGATCTTGTTTGGGGTCGCTAACATGCGACTGTTACCAAACGCCTTCACTTAGCATGTTAGCACAAATATTACAACTACAGCACGTTATCAGGTTGACTTTTAGCATGCATGCTAATATGCTAATCATTAGCATGTTGGTATCACATGTTTAGCGTTGCATGTTGTCATTATTTTCCCAACATACTAAACAATAAAGTGCGTAATGTTTGCGTGTTGGGTGCTGCTAAGTCGAACATGAAAGTACATGAAATATTTGCTAGTTACAGTAACAGCATTACCATTAGCATATTATCCCATCTTGGCAACATTAGCATGTTGCTAAGATGCTAAATGCAATCGGTAATGCATCAAACAAGATTGTTTGGTGTCAGGACTGAGGCTCAGGTTTTATTTATACAAAACAATCACAGAAACTCAATGAAACGCTTTATTTTGAAGGGCTAAAACTAAAGAAGGCAGTTACCCAGTTTCCAGTATTCAGGAGGGTTGACGGGATGCTCAGCAGTTTTCTGGGTCAAACTTCGGGACTCGAGGACAAAACCAGGAAGAAACCTGCGACAGCGAATCACAAAGTTAACGATTCCACAAAACTGACGAATATTTAATCTGCTGAATGTAACAAAGCGAATGTTTTTCACTGCGTTCGCACTTTGTTACTGACAAAAGATTTATTATCCAGACATTGTTTTTCCTGCAAACTAAGTGAATCCATTAATCTCTTCTTTTAATATCACACAGCTAGTGTTCCTGGCTGCGACCAGCAGGGGGCGACTCACCACCTGTCTCCACTCTGAAGGTGAGTTTTGATCCTGCAGCTGCTCAGGTTTGCATTTTGCCCTGAACTCTGACTGCAGGCGGCATCACTCTGCAGACTCAAACCTTTTTTTGTGTTTTATTCATATTACTCAACGACAATTAGTCAGAAGTCTCGTATTTCAAATGTAGTTTTAAACTGCAGATGATCTGAAGCTGACGGTCCACAAAACACGGTAGAAGCTGATTAACTAACGACCAAACACACAGAGGCTGAATAGTTTAGTACACGCACATGCATCAGAGATCTGCCCCGAGTTGTTCTCTTGCTTGAAATAAAATTCACTGTAACCAGCAACAGCTCAGCCTGCATCACGGTGAAAAATGAAAAGCGAACAGTAAAAAGACCACATGTGGATCGCTGGAGCAGCAACAGAGCTTCCGAAGGTTTCATGTCCTGAACATGAGACTTCAATTATTGATCAGTGGAGCCTGTGAGGAAGGCCTGCGGTGTATTATTTATCTGCAGGCAGGGTGTTATGTAACACATCTGACCCCCTAACTGCTCACTGGCTGCTCTGCTCGAGGCCTTTAGACCGAAAACAAAAAAACTCTGCAGACCACGTCCAGGTTCACGCCGCAGACGGCACAATCAGGGAGCTGCAACCTGACCGCTCAGAAACCCGTAAAAGATGCCAGACGTCCACATTCCTGCTCACCTGCAGAGGAAACCACCAGAAACACGACAGACGTTCTGCAGTGTTTGGCTGCAGCTGGTGGTGATTTTTTTTCCTCCCGTTGCCCCGAGCAACACATGATTAGTCATCCGCTGCCCGGAGGGGCCGGGCGGCGCTGGACGGCAACATCTCGGCGTCATTCGGTCCGACTTATAACTTCAACACAACATGAAACCGGAGAGGTGGAGCTGGAGCTGAACTGCATCGTGCACAGTTTCCAGCGCTCCAGAGGACAATGCGTTGACTTACATTCACTCCTCAGAGACTGAAAGCTACGACTAGTCCGACCCGGAGCCTCACCAAAACCCAACTTTACCATCAGCTTCACCTTATTAGGACTTGCTTTTGTCTCCGAAAGCGAAGCAGCTCCCCGCCGTGAAACTGCACAAACAGATTTATGTCCCCACAACAGGAGAAATTCACACACTGTAGTGGTACTGTAAGGGAGTCTGTGCTGAGAAATCCATCAGACGCTGAACGTTTCCCTCCGTCCTCCCCCCAAAACATCTGGATTACATCAAGCCCCAGCGCTGCCCAAACTGCTCTTCAGGTCCGTGAATCAGCAAGTACAATAAAGCTGGAGTTTTTCCGAACATGTGTTTTTAAACACATGTTAAAGTGCTTTAACGCCGAATCCAGAAGACAAAAACCTCCTTTATTTCCCGCAGGTTTCTCTTAGGTTTGGGCGGCGTCTATTTGTTCATCCATGACGACATTAAGGAATCTTTTAATTCCTTGCAAAGGCAGAAGTCATCGTGTGCATTCATGTGCAGGGTCTCAACTCGGCTAAACTGGTTCCAGCAGCAACCATTTATTGAATTTATTTTTATGTTTCTCAGCATTTTCTTGTAGTTTCCAGAGCGCAGAAACTCGTCTGTGATGGCTGTCTCACCTGCACCATCGGATAACAATAAATAAAGAACATAATAAGCAGCATTTCCACCTCAAGAAACGTCAGAAATACAGATTCAGACTTCCAGGATTTCAAATATAACAAAAAACATTCCCTCAACTTGCATTAATGTTCTTCTTCAAAATTAGTTTTTGGTCTTAACATGTTTGGCTGAATTACAACTAGCCACCGTGTAGATCAGCGCAGTTTAACCGCTTTTAAGCAGAGCTGTAGGTGAGCTGGTGTGCTCGAGCTGCAGAGAGATGGGTGGGGACTAATTTGCATATTCTTTGGTTTACATCTAAGTCATTATTTTCATTGAAAACAAATTCCTAAATTTGATGCATAAAACAAAACTCGCCAATTAAAACCATATTAACCGATAAAGCAGAAAGAGGAGAAGGTCGTACATGTCCGAAAACGTATTTATAGATCAGCTGTAGTACCGGGTTGTTCCACCAGGTGGCGCCTGTTACTGTTTAATACTGTAGAGACCAGAGGGGGTGGTGGCTCCATGTTGCAGAGAGCATTGTAGGAGTTTAGCTACTAAAGAGCGACCATGAGAAAGTCTTCTGCTTAATGGTTAGCCGCCACAGAGCTAATGCTGTTAGCACGCTAACGTACTTCAGGATCGGTGCTAGTTAGTGGCCTCCTGTCAGTATCAGACTAGTGGTTCATATCTGCAATAAAACAGATTCATTCATTAGGACGTCTAATTAAATCCACCAACCGATGCTGTGCAACCGACTGCCAGCAATCGGTTAAGGAAGTTTTGCATCCTTAGTGGAAACCAGAGCTGCCCCCCCGATACCTGATCAAAGTCTTCGACGCTGCTGGACGCAAAAACTAAATCTCACATGCTTCTCATTGTGCATGACTGATCTACAGCAACGGTCTGTCCGATAGACCATCAGCAGTGATTAAAGGCTTCTTGGACACAAGAGTTTGTCGACACGCTTGCTGGAAAATGACGAAGAAACGATGATTTGTTTGCAAAAAGGGAATCGACTGCATGGAGCTACAGCGTTGTGCAATCGGTGCTGCAACAGGAGAAAACAGTTTGAGTGTCTGGATCGACGAAAAAGCCTTTTAGAGCAAAAACAATGCTGACTTTTCTAAACGGTTCTAAATGTTCTTTTCCAGGCAGATCTTCTGCATTCTGTCATATCGCAGTAGAAAAAATCTAAAAAGAAAAAGCCTTCTGTAGTTCTTCCACCCATAGGAAGGCTGGCGTAACGCGACGTGTTCCAGATCTTTTCTTATCTGTCGAGCCTCAGCAGGTGAGTTCTACCTGCAGGATCCAGGTGACCTTTGCTTCCGACTGGATGAATGTGGGGTTGGGGGGCGTCGCTGTCAGCACACCGTTCAGCTCAACATGCTTCTACCACTTTATCGACCGAATCAGACAATGCAGCAAAATGCCTTCAAAATACAGCTTGTTTTTCTGTTTTTTTTTCTCCTCCCAGCTTTCACTTTGCACCATGGCAGCTGCTGGTTTCCTCTCCAGCCTTCTTCTTCTTCCTGCTTCACAATGTTGTCAGTCTGACTGTAATCTGGTAAAGCAGGTGAAAAATAACAACAATAACAACAATAATAAATATGCATTGATCATCTGCACTGGAGAACCCGAGCAGCCAGGTTCTGCAGGGCCAGCGTCAGCCATGTTTTTTTTTTTTTTACTCACTATTATTTACAGGCAGTGATCGGGGGGAGGAAGGGGGCGGACAGGGGCCTCACAGCGGCGCACAACGGACCGACTGTCCGCCTGCATTTCTGCGGGAAAACGGGGCAGAAATGTCCCAGACGTTTGCACGGCGGCACGCCGGGTTAGTCCCTGGCTGTCTGCTGCCTCCCCCCGCCCCTCCCCCTCGGCGGGAGAACGCAGCTAACAAACCGAACGCTCCGTGTTTCTGTTGTTTACCTGCGGGGCCGAACGGCGGCGGCGGACAGGTGCGCCTCGTCGCGTCGCGTCTCACCGTCGTGAAGTGAGCCGGGATGGGGGGGGAGGGAGGGAGGGTCGCAGCGGGCCGTGAAGGGGCTTCTCGCCTCCCGCTGTCCGTCCACGGAGCCCCGTTTCCACTTCACAGGAACCACACAGACTCCACGGACATCTCAGCGTCGAGAGTCAAGCGCGCGGCGAGCGAACCGCGCAGCGCCGCCCGGGACCTTCACAATAAAAGCGTCTCTGCTCAAACCGCGATCATAGAAAGGAAAATACAAATGATGCCACATGGACAACCACACATCCATGACAACTTCAGAAACACCCAGTCTAAAGCACTAATGTCTGGGCCAATATTCTGCATTTTCCAATTATCAGTATTATTAATGTTATTAACCGACGATAAGCTCGAGGGCCCTGCAGAGCCCCAGGAAACCAATTATTCTGTCCAACTCACCACAAAATGGGTGTTATCTTTCATTCATCATGGTTGGTCGGTTATCCAAAGTGAAATAAGTACTATCCGTGTACACTTTACATGTTATTTTAAAAAATAATGGCAATATCAACATTTTTTGACCTTCAGTTGAACCTTGAAAATCACCCAAGGTCATATGTCACATCTCTAGTGGGAAGCCTACATGTGAGCCATCTGCATGGAATCAGTCGCATTGGGGCTACATTCGAGATACAGCCCAAATTACGTTAACCCATGATCAAATATTGATTTTGGGTTTATTACTTATATTGGTCCATTTAGTTGTTTTCTACATGTTGGTAACATATAATATTATAACGCTCCGTATCGCTGTCAAATACCATCATCGTGCATGATTGGTAACACCAGAAAGAAGCCGTGGAAATCACTTGTGTGCAGACGCCGTGAGCAATGTGTCATTACCAGCCAGTATTGTCCCATGATTTGCATCATGCAGCAACGTGCCGCTTTTGTTTACGCATAATAGCCCAAGGTGCAGTGAGACTGATTTCGTGCAGATGGATCACATATATGGTTTCCGATGCACCATTTTGAAGTTACAGTACAGTCAAAATTTACGACCTAGAGTTTGACCTTGAACTATCATCCAAGGTCAAATACAACATCGCCAACAGAGAGCCCCGACATGGCTGCTTATCTGCACCAAATACCATAAATCTACCTTCCACTTTCTTAAAGGTATACAGCTTTTTAAAAAAAAGGTGACCTTTGACTTCTAGTGGAGCTATTTTGGCACTGATTGACTCCAAAATCTAATTGTTGCGAGGCGAGGCCATTCCTCGCTCACCTGTAAAACATCAACTTGTCAGACCGTAGCACTCGAGCTACAGACTGTTCACAGACAGACCCAAAGATGGGACCGATTACTTATAAACTAAGTCGGCTCTCGCTGTCTGCAGTCACTCTGAGGTCTCAGCAACTTCCCACCGATGGTTCTGTGTGACTGGTTACACATCAGAGGTAACATCCAGTCAACACTGAAAGCTATTGTTTGAACAGAGGGACAGATGAGCTCAGATTTAAGCAGCTCCGCTCAGTTACCAAAGAAGTGTTTGAAAGGTGAGGTAGCGGAATAAACGCTGCAAGCTTACACAAGCGTATCCACTTTTCCCGCTGCATTAAAAAGGCCAGAACAATTCACTTATTGGTGTCAATGCAGCTGGAGCTTATTCTGCAGACTACTCGGCTATCCCAAAGTCAGGTCAGTGGCTAACGCTAGCTGGAGCGCCGTAGCATCTTTCTAAAGTAACAACAGCTTTAACGCTCAGCTTTTACTGACAAACACGTCTCTTTAGCAAAGACACAACCTCCAGAAAGTGACCAAGAAACACAAGGCATAGCCCCAAATTTGGAAATGAGCTACTTTCACAGTCGCTAAGGCTACGCTAACAGCTAAGTTAGCTAAGATGACCCATGGGAACTCTGTTGTCCATTCATCCAGAAGAATGTTTGTGAGGTCAAGCATTTATGTTGGACGAGCAGGCCAGGCTCACAATGTAGTTTCATTTCATTTCAGGTGTTTCCTTGGATGACAGTGACCTCACGAATCTTTAAATAGTGTTGAAATTACTTTCAAAAGAATGGTTTTGAGATAAGATCATATAATACTTTTGACAGAACAAAGTAATTTTAGTTTATCCCGAGGGAGGCGAAATTGCTTAAGTTGCAGTTGCTCCTATTTAGTATAAAATATATAGATAAACATACGCTTTTTTAAAAAAATCCTAAAATAACAACATGATTATGCGGTAAATATGCATTGACTAAAGATTGTTTTTTATTATTATTAGCATTTTAGTGTGGAATCAGCAGCAGCTGTAACTGCCCTACATAGCATATAGGGAGTTTATAAACTTGGATTCCCGGCTTTTATTTGTCTTCCCTGCCCCACTTCCGGCCTCGTTCCCGCCGCCTTGACGCTCCTCTGTCTCCGCCCGCCCTGCTGCTAAATACTGCAACCGAGAGCGAATACAAGGACACCGACTGGCGCATTACGCTGTTTCTGCCTGCTCAATAGTGATCCGTCCTTCTGTTGAATGCGACAGTGGAGGAGACAGACAGACAGACAGACAGGCAGGCAGACAGACAGACAGACAGACAGATGGACAGACAGACAGATGGACAGACAGGCAGTTGGTCAGTTAATAAAGTGAGTCAGTGAATTGTGTGTTCTGACTCCTTCTGAGGCCTAAATGTCTGATTTGGTTTCCTGTCACCTCAGTGGAGTTCATCATTCACACTCTGCAGAATTATGCAGAACGACCCACCTCCGCCGTCGACTTTTCATCCAGTCAGAATGTACGAACGTCTATAATAAACTTGCAAAACAGACGAACGGTGACCGCGCCACGTTAGCCGATGTCTCGCTGTCGGTTCCACCTAAAGAACATCTATGGAGGCTTTACTTTGTAATTATGAGCTCAGCATCTCCATAATTAGCACTTCCTGCCTCGCAGTTAAGAGTCCAGATCTCAAAGTTCCTGTAGCAGGTTGTTCTGAGGCTTCGTTCAGCCGATTTAACTCCAAATCCATTAAAAAGTCACTTAGATTCACCAAAGTGACGCATTAAGAGTTTTGTTCCTTGAAAATAAACTCGATTTATACGTTGGACCTTCACCAGATGTCCTTCGTTGACCATGTCGGAGCTGAAGGTGATAAACG